GGTTCGATCCCTGGGTTGGGAACATCCCCTGGAGGAGGAAACAAAACCCACTCCAGTATCCTTGCCTGGGAAATCACAAGGACAGAGGAGCTTGGAAGGCTACAGTCCATGGGGTCACAAAGAATCAGACATGACAGTGGCTAAATCAACAATCACCACCACACTAAAATACTACACAAAATTTATCCTTATTTTGTCGAAAGTTCACACTAACTTCATCAGCATCAATTTAGGAACTTAGCAGGAACTCCTTCATGTCCTCCAATCATGATCCATCAAATGCCCAACAGTTGACACTCTGGTAGATGCTGGGGAAGTAACAGTGGACCAGACAGTCCTTCCCTGAACAAGTTTTCAGTTTCCTGGAAGAGGCTGACAAGTAAAATAGGTAACTATGGTACTATGGGATCAGGTACATGGTGGCCCTGATATGGAGGGTCAGAAAGTGGACCTAACCCTACCATGTTGGGTCTGGGGAAGCCTCTGAGTGAGGGTGATATTTAAGCTGAATTCTAAAGGATGAGCAAAAACTGGCTTCTAGACGAGAAACTAACAATACTTTCTTTTCAGAGAATTTGGTCATCATATCGTTCAGTTTTTTATTGTCAACCAATGTGGAGAAGAAAAGTAGGAAGATATTTTAAGGTATCTCTTACTCGAGGGAAAAACCCTTGTGATTCTTCTGTAGATGTATTGTTGTTGCTGTTCAGTCAGTAAGTCGTGTCTGACTATTTGCAATCCATGGACTGCAGCATGCCAGGTTCCTCTACCCTCCACTCTCCCCCAAAGTTTGCTCAAATTCATGTCCACTGAGTCAGTGATGCTATCTAACCATCTTATCCTCTGCCATCCCCCTTCTTCTTTTTCCTTCAATCTTTCCCAGCATCAGGATCTTTTCCAGTGAGTAGATTCTTCTCATCAGGTGGCCAAAGTACTGGAGCCTCAGCTTCAGCATCAGTCCTTCCAGTGAATGTTCAGGGTTGATTTCCTTTAGGATTGACTGGTTTGATCTCCTTGCAGTCCAGGGGACTCTCAAGAGTCTTCTCCAGCACCACAAATCAGAAATATCTGTTCTTACTGGTTTGGCCAAGAAGTTCGTTCAGCTTTGCCTGTAAGATTTTACTAACAAACCTGAATGAACTTTTTGGCCAGCCCAATAGTTCATCATCCTTTCTGCTGCATATTCAAGATAAATTACAGTTTGAGTAAACTGAATTCCCCACTTCATGGATCACAGCCTGCTGTGGCGAAGGGGCTTGTATACCTCAATGAGGCTATGAGCCATGCCAAGCAGGGCCACCCAAGACTGAACAGGTCATAATGAACAGCTCTGACAAAACGTGGTCCACTGGAGAAGGAAATGGCAACCCACTCTAGTATTCTTGCCTGGAGAACCCCATGGACAGTATGAAAGGCAAAAAGATATGATGCTGGAAGATGAGCACCCCCATGTCAGAAGGTGTCTAATATGCTACTGTGGAAGAGCAGAGAATGATTACTAATTTCAAGACAGGCTTCAGCAGTATGTAAACCAAGAATTTGCAAATGTCCAAGCTGGGTTTTGAAGAGGCAGAGGAGCCATAGATCACTGCTAATGTTTGTTGGATCATGGAGAAAGCAAGGGAATTCCAGAAAAACATCTACTTCTGCTTCACTGATTACGCTAAAGCCTTTGACTCTGTGGATCACAACAAACTGTGGAAAATCCTTAAAGAGCTGGGAGTACCAGACCACCTTACCTATCTCCTGAGAAACCTGTATTTGGGTCAAAAAGAAACAGAACCTTACATGGAACAACTGATTGGTTAAAAATTGGGAAAGGAGACCATCAAGGCTGCATATTTAACTTATGCACAGAGTACATCATGCAAAATGTGGGCCTGGATGAATCCCATGCTGAAATCAAGATTGGTGAGAAAACTATCAACAACCTCAGATATGCAGATGATACCACTCTAATGACAGAAAGTGAAGAGAAACTAGAGGCTCTTGATGATGAAAAAGAAGAGTGAAAAATCTGGCTTAAAACACAACATTCTAAACACTAAGATCATGGCATGCAGTCCCATCAACTCTATGGCAAATAGAAGGGGGAAAAGTGGAAGCAATGACAGATTTTATTTACTTGCACTCCAAAATCTCTTTGGTAGATGATGACTTTAGCCATGAAATTAAAAGATGCTTGCTCCTTGGAAGAAAAGCTATAACAAACCTGGACAACATATTAAAAAGCAGAAGCACTACTTTGCCAACAAAGGTCCATATTATCAAAGCTATGGTTTTTCCAATAGTCATGTACAGATGTGAGAGTTGGACCATAAAGAAGGCTGAGTACTGAAGAATTGATGCTTTGGGATTGTGGTGCTGGGGCTCTTGAGAGGCCCTTGGACTGCAAAATCAAGCCAGTCAATCCTAAAGGAAATCAGTCCTGAATATTCATTGGAAGGACTGATGCTGAAGCTGAAACTCCAATACTTTGGCCACCTGATGCAAAGAGCTGACTCGTTTGAAAAGACCCTGATGCTGGGGAAGATTGAAGGCAAAAGGACAAGGGGCGGCAGAGGATGAGATGATTCTCTGGGTTAAACAGCATCACTGACTCGGTGGACACAAATTGAAGCAAACTCTGGGAGGTAGTGAAGGACAGAGGAGCCTGGTGTGCTGCAGCCCATGGAGTTGCAAAGAATTGCACATGACTTAGCAATTGAACAACAGCACAAAACTGGATTTCTACCACCCTTTATCAAAAGCGTGAATACATCCCACATCTAAGTGAGTAAGTTGAGGCAGATTTGCTTACCATGAGAACATTAATGCCTGGATTTTACCACATGTTTTTAAAAACCCTCTTGGCCTAGTTACCCAGGGGAAGAAATATAAGCTCAGCTTCTCTGCATACATGAAGGACCACAGCATAGACCAGGAAGCATGGGGAGGGAAGCTTTCATTGTAGCATCTTGCAGCCACACGGATTCCACTTAATGTCCTCAAATCCTGCATTCATTGGTATGATTGGATAATTTGCCTTGGAGGTATTCTAAGGTTGAGTATTCAATTTGATTACATGGGGTTTGCTGAGAGATCTGATTTCCAGGAGTTTGGAAGCAGATGTCTCTCAGAAAATTATGCTTTTGAATCAAAACCAACCTCTCAGACTCTCAATCCCATTAGTTAGGAGAAGACACACATAATTGGATAACAGGATATAAAATGAAGATCTAAATGTTTATTAATTACAATAAAGATCTAAATGCTTATGAATTACAATAGAATGTAAAATCACAGAGTTAGCCATTAAATAACTACACTTATTTAAATAAATGTAGTCATTATAAAACTTTAAACAGGAAAGTGATTTTTAAAAATTCAAAGTAAGAAATTTGGTACAAGCAAAGATGACATTTTAAAGTATCGTCTATGAATTTTCACACAGACTTTTTCTCTCACAATAATATTCATTTATATCTTCAATCTTACACAGCAACAAAGTCACAGTAAGAAAGACAGCAATTGCTTCTGAAAGGAAATCAAAGAAGCCGAGAGAGATTATTCTTTCAAAAGGATCTTAGGGAGTTGAAATAAGGCTTGCTTCTCCATGGGCTGACAGCATTTAACTGGGATGGGAACAGTGGCATCCTTTTCTCTGATTTTACCTTTGAACAGAATAAAAGGAACTGAGTGTAACATTCTCCCTCACAAAGAGATGCAGAACCGAAGCCTAACCCCCAAGAAATGTTATAATCAAAGTAAACACTAATCTCACTCCTACAAATGCTGGTAATAGCATGTTATGGCATTCAATAGAATGTCTTCCTCTTGTTAATCTTCCTCTGAATTTTTAACACAATTTTTTTGGATTGGAAGAATAATTCCAATTGTCAGGAAATGACAACAAAGCTGGAACTGTTGGCTGTACAGTGTTATTAAAGACTTAACAACATTCAAATGAAAGAGAACACGGCTGGGAGTACACAGCACCCCATCACAGTCTCAGGGTTTATGTCAGGAAGCATAGGTTAGCATAATGTGAAAACCAGCAATGCCTAACTGGATTTGTATGTAAAATGAGTCCTTTGACAGACAGTGTCCCTAATTAACACAAACATCTTTCCCTGTCCATCATGTCAACCTCTTCTGTCATCTTTTGCTGATGTGATGTGTTGCAAATCTGAAAATATATCACACAATAAAAAGAAAAAAAAAACATAGAGGCTAGTGAAGTTACAAAACATGCAGATTTCATGAAGTAAATAGAAATGATGTTAGAGAAATGTTTAAATCACAGCAAAGCCCAGCCAAATAGACACTTGGCAGAGTGGGACCAGAAAACAACTGAAAAAATAATAATAATTTTTTAAAAACCCAAGAAAAAGAAAATGACAAAGATGATGATCATAGGTGCTTGAAGAGGACAGATTTGAATGTGAAAAGAAAAAACTGATGAAGCACTCAAATTTTTCTTAAAAAAATGACCATATCTGTCATGTTATTCTAAAACTGTGTGAAATAAAGCTTATCATATACTATCAAATAATTTTCCTAAAAAATTACACCCAAAGTAACATTTGGTTCATTTTTCATTCATTCTAACTTCTAGAACATGATTGCCTTTACAATACAAAGACTCATTACTTCCAGATAAAGTCCTAACCAGTTTATACATTTTGACTATAAACTTGCACTCTTGGTATTAAGTAGTGGCAACCTTCCTCACAGCAGGTCCCTCTGTGTTACCAGCCTTTTTCTTACATCTGGTTTTCCAAGCCTTTGTGTAATGTTTCCTAACATCTCAGAGAATAAATCTCCAGCTAGCTCAAGGCCTTCTTCAACTTGGGAAGCTCACCCAGGCATTCTGTGTCAAGAGGCTCACCCAGTCTTGGAAGTCTTTGACCTTGATCTTGGACTCTTCAACCGTTCAGGAAAAAAGAGATAGGCTAACGTTATATGTTGTACTGCAGGAAACCTTGCCCTGCCCACCATCCCTTACCGACAGCACGTGGTCAGGGCTGGGCCTGTTTCCTGGTCCCATGTGTGGAGTCTTCTTTTGTCCCTCTGGATGTCAGTGTGACGACTTCTCCTTTATAGGGTTCACGCTTCACGGGGGTAGGTGTGCAAGTCTGAAAGAGAACATTTCATTTTTATCTCGTGGTTTATTGGCTTCTTGAATTCAAAGCTAAGTTCTGCTATCTAAATGAATTGTGAGATCAAAAATGAGGCAGTGAATTTATCAAGTGCCTCCCACTCCTTATCCTTTTACAGAAGTTCCCAGCAACCAGGTACCTGTGTTAGCCCACTGTCTCTTTCTGGGGTTAAACTGCATCAGACAAAGGCCCAGGGAACACTTCCTAACACCATTCTTTCCACTGCAACTTTCACCGGGATCTCTACCATATCCTCACACACTGGGTTCTATAACCACCTACAGGCTTATCAAACATTCTGTCTTTTCCTGTGGCTTCAATCCTAGATGGCTGTATTCCCAGAGTTCTTTGTTGTGCATCTCCTAAGACTTTCAGCATTTTGCTGCAGATCCTAGCAGTCTGTGTGTACATTTCCTCATTTTCCTGATTGTCTCTGCTTGTAACAGGCCTTCCACAGAATTTCCCATCTGGAACCACATCTCTCTGCTGGCCAGCTGGGTAGTGGGACCCTGGATTCAGCCACAGTTACTTCAGTGTTTGACCAGAGTTTTGAAATCAGGACTATCTAAACAAAGGGATTCATAAGAAGTAAATTATATTGTTCATCAGAGTGGAAACAAATTCCCGATAGTTCAGGTGAATTGCAAACCAGTGTCAGTAAGGGCATGGGTTCTGGAACCAGCCTGCCTGGGCACATTATTTAACACTGTGCTTCAGCTGTAAACTGAGGATGGTAACAGCACCTAATTTATAAGTTGGTTATGAGAATTACATGCTGAGAGGATTAAATATATGTAAAACATTTCAAACAATGCCAAGTGTATAATAAGCTCTTAACAAAAATATACATGTATGTGTGAACATTTGTCTTATTTTTACCATTAAAACTAATATCTTACAGTGATCACCAGTGTGGGCCTTAGAGGAAGGCAGGTCTAAGTCTGAATACTAGCTTTGCCATTTACTGGCTGTTGGAAACTAGCAAATTAATAAGTCCCTCTGATCCTACTTACTCACCTGTGAAATGGAGGGCATAAAACCCACGTCCCCAGCACATGAGATTTCCCAGATACAAAGCATTTTCTTCATTCATTCAATAGATATTTATTGAGCACACACGAGCCCCAGGCACAGAGGATAAAGCAGAGAACAAGATGGAGACCATCCCTACAGCTGCAGAATCTGAAGCAAGCTGATCACTCAGTGAATAGGAAGACCCCTGCCCTCTGCACGCAACTCCAAGCCTCTGTCCATTTCCTGTGTCCCATGGGATGCTTTGCTGAACCTCCATTTCGGCTCACTGTCAACTAAGTCCCTTCCTTCACCCTGGATCCTGTCATCACCTTGAACATCGACATGGAGAAATGAAACAGCAACCTCTCATGGCTGCAACCCAGCCCCTGGACATCATGGTTACTTAGAGCCCATCCACACCTGAAACTTTAAACTCACGTAATTCCCCACTCTCTGATCACAACCTCCCTTTCAGGTGTTAAGTCTCCAGGTTTTTCCTTCTCCTGGTTGACTTTCCAAGCCCAACTGTATGTATATACTTAAACCTAAGACATGCAACGCAACATGCAACATGCTCACGCTCAGTCCTGTCCGACTCTTGGCTCCTCTCTCCATGGGATTTTCCAGGCAAGAACACTGGAGTGGGTTGCCATTTCCTTCTCCAGGGGGTCTTCCTGACCCAGGGATTGAACTCGAGTGCCCTGTGTCTCCTGCATTGCAGGTAGGTTCTTTACCCCTGACTCACTGGGGGAGCACACTTGAAACTAAAGTGACCATATAATTTACCATCCAAACTGGGACACTTCTGAGCATGTAAAGGATACTAAACATAATGAACAGGCATAATCCAGGACCCTCCAAGCAAACCAGGATTTGTTTCCACCTTCCTTCAACCTTTCTCTTACCAACAATCTAAAGTCTTGCTTCTTTCTCTTTTCCAGTCGTTATTTGCACTTGGCAAAACCCGTGGCGTATTTCAGTTCAATCATCAGCTTTTTCACAGCCCTTGGAGAAAATGACATCAGTGGGCAGATAATCTGTGTCACCCGCCTTTGTGCTGTGTATTCCTCATCAGCTCCCCCTCCCACCTCCCCACTCCCACAACAGTTCCTTTGAAACCTTTCTGTCTGTGGTTTTCATCTGTACTTTTTGGTCTCTCTTGGACTCCTTAGAGACAACACTGGTGATTTAAACGGGACTGTTTAAGCCTGGGCCCTACCCTCCTCATTCAGGACAGGGCTTGTTCCACAAGCTGCCTGGTCCCTTGAAGGATCCTTTTCCTGGAACCAACTGCAGGCTCAGGGGTGACTCAAACCAGGTGAATCAGCATCCTTCCTAGCATCTTTATGCTGAGGCCATGTCTTCTCCTACTGTGGCATGCCCACCCTCTGTTTTACCTAAATATCTGCAATGGATCTTCAGTAACTCAGCCCAGGCAATCATCAGCCCAGGAAGCTTTAACCCTCCCTGCCACATCAGTGTCTTGCTTACCATTTTCTGTTTTTGTGTAATAGTCTGCCTCCTCCAGCAGACTCGGGGATAGTGTATTGCTCTGTTTCTCCATAACAAGTACTCAGTAAATAGTTGACAAGTCCCTACCAAGGGTGGAGAGCATTGGTGGGGAAGAGATCCCCCATCTGAGCTTCTCTCTTCTTTGCGTCTGTTGTCCTGGCCAGAGCTGACTCAGTTTCCCTCATCTTCTTTTGTTCTGCTTCACCATTGAGCTGCTCCCCAGGTTGCACTTGCCCTTTGCACTTGTCTTAAGACCTCTTTCAGACTGCTCAGTCACTGTACTAGCAACGCCACGAGGCCCCTCGCAGCCTGGCTGGTCACTCTGGTCACACCAACCATCCAACAGCTCTGTCACCTGCACATAGCTTCCCTCGGCATCTGCCGCTGAGGCTCGGGACGAGCAGGGACCGATTTCCCACCAGAATGGCCGTGGCCATTAACCACTCCTGCCCACATGGCCACCTTGGGCACAGACTGACCCTCTTTGGGGAGTTTTCTGCCACCCTACACTTCACAGCCTTCCCCTTTATAGACAAGTGGACAGGAATCAAAGACAATCCAAGCTCTGGTCTCAAGCCTTGCAGTCCTTTCAACCTTTTCATCTTTTCTTATCCTCGGACACGGTTGCATAATCTCTTCTAATGCTAGACGCAGGTATTGCTCATCTTTGCACTGTTTATCACCCGGGGCACTGTACTCTGTGTCCATTTAGAACCTCAGTGCTGTTCACTATGATGAAATGGAAAGGTGCTGGTGCTGGTGCTGCGGAATGTGAAGCTGTCCCTGCGTTATTCCAGAGTTCAGTTGCCCTTTTGTTTTCTAAGTAGACTGACCCTGCAGCTCTCAGGAAGAACAGTCATGTGGCTTCTCTCTGGTGACAAATGGCAAATCTCCATCTCAGCCCGGACATGGACACCAGCATCTGGCATGCCCTCAGAGGCTGTCCTAAGGGTGTCCTAGAGACTGTCCTGGGGCACCAGCATCTGGCATAATCTCAGAGGCTGTCCTAGGGGTGGGAATCAAAATCAAGCGGGTTTCTTTCCCAGGTATCCAGGATGAGTACAGTAATGACAGGGACTCATTCCAAGTCTCCCAACTGAATGCACACCTATTACTTGCTGCTGCTGCTGCTGCGTCGCTTCAGTCGTGTCCGACTCTGTGCGACCCCATAGACGGAAGTCCACCAGGCTCCCCCGTCCCTGGGATGCTCCAGGCAAGAACAGTGCAGTGGGTTGCCATTTCCTTCTCCAATGCGTGAAAGTGAAAAGTGAAAGGGAAGTCGCTCAGTCGTGTCCGACTCTTAGCGACCCCATGGATTCCTCCATCTATGGGATTTTCCAGGCAAGAGTACTGGAGTGGGGTGCCATTGCCTTTTCCACCTATTACTTAGAGGGTGTTAATTCTGCATAAAGCTCAGGGAAAGGCTGGGATGAAGCATCAGAGGGTTCTGGGTTTCTTCCGGCCTCACCGTCAGCTTTCTTCGGCTCCATTGCTGGCTCTTACCCTCCTCTCCTCAACCTCTGAAGGTTGACATCTTTCTCAAGTTCCCTTTCTTCTCTGGTGGCCTCAAACTTGTGGTTTTAAATCTTATATATGCCAGGATTTCTAACTCTTATGTCCAGCCCCAGTCTCTCCCAAATCCCAGATTTCTTTATCCCAGTGGCTAATGACCTCCTCACAGGGAGGCGTAATTAGCATCTCAAACAGAATGAGAACTTAAGCACCAACAAACTACAGCTTAAATTGAAGTAGGATTACAGTTCTTTGAGCCCAGGGACTGCTATTTTAGTTGCACCTGTATCCCCAGCACATGGAAGATGAAACAGCACCTGGGGCTTAATAATTTGTTAAGTGAAAGATTTCTTGACTGCTGGACACTTTTTAAAAGAACTTTTTAGATGATATCAGGCAATAGAATCACCTGAGGGTAGCATTATCTACAATCATTTGACAGCTTTCTCAAGGAGCACCTCAAGAGACTAAGGTTCTGAACATATATAGCTTTGGGAGACTGACCTGGGTGGTGGCATCTTCTCCCCCTAGAACAGGCTGGTCAAAATTAGATGATCACCCCAGGCCAGCAGTTCTTCCTGTCTTGACGTGTTCACAACCAAATAGAATGGCTTGAGAGTAAAACAGTGTGAAAGGCTATCCTAAGTAATATAGGAAATACGGATGGTACCTCACCCAGCAGGGTGCTGGTGGTTTACCCCTATAAATGAGAGTTCAATTTGAGTTCACAGTATTTAATGATGATTCTTACTATGATGAGTTAATAGAAAGATGAAAAAGAATTATATCACAATATGCAGTGCTATGAATAAATATTAATTGCAATCATTACACATGCATAATTGCATAGCTGCATTTTGGTTAGCTGATCAGGGGAAAGAGGAAACTTAAAGTTGATAGAAAATTTAACTGTATTGTCTGCAGAGAGTGGAATACTA